GTGGGAGCTCGGCTGGGACGTATCCCTCCCCTGGCACGTGGGAGTACAGCTGGGACATACCTCTCCCCTGGCACGTGGGAGTACGGCTGGGACATACCTCTCTCCGACAGGCATACAGGTTTCTGTGCTAGTCAAGACAGATCTATGGAAAATCCTATGGAGACTCCACCACCAGGACCACAGTAAGTACTAGATAAATATTAGCGCTTCCCAAACACTCTCTTCCCAAAAAGGTCAGGGGTAAAGGTCTGCAGCAGACGCTGACAGAGGCCACTCCCTCCACAATCACCTTGAAATGGTCTGGGATCTGCGCCTTGGCACATGCTCGGCAGGGTGGCCTCACCGGCTCCCAGGACTCCCCCCCGAGAAGCCTTCCCTGCCCCATGTCCAAGCAGAGCGAGTCACAGCACAGAACCCTGGACTCACCTCTCCCACAGTATCGATCACGATGCACGTTTATCTAAGCCCTGTCCCCTCCCTCCACAGTAGAAGCTCCGTACATGGAGGACGGTGGTCACCTCTGCATTCCCAAGGCCATGCTCACTAGCTGGTTTAGAAGTGAAGCCATATCTCCTTTAATTCAAGCCTTAGTCCATTCACCCAACCACCTCCTACCCTCCACTCACAGCGGCTCAGTTCCCTCCAACCAGCACACCCCAGAGAGCCATACTGCCACTCCCTTTCTCCTCGTGGGGGTGTGGGATGCACGGCTGTCCCAGCTGCTCGAGCTCAACCTCTGGCTCAGAGATCACTGCAGTCCTCCCCCCGGCCATCACACCCTCATGCCCATTCTACCTTCTGTCTACCCTGCCTGTCCTCCCCCATTCCTAGTGTGTCAGTTCACCTGGTCACCGTCACTTCCTGTCTGATTTCCCCATCGGCCTGAGAACCAGGCTTCTACTCCGCCTCAAAGCCCTCCTTATGGGGCAGCCAGAGGGGTTTCTCCAAATTTAAATCTGATCTTATCATTCCCTCAAGCTCCACCTTAAACTCTTCAGTGGCTTCTCACACACCCTAGGATAAAACCCAAATTCCTCAACAAGGCCCACGTGACTTCTCAGCTCCCACCTCCTGCGGCTCCCCTCCTCCGGTCCCAGAACACCACTCTCGGGCCTGCCACACACGTCTGTGCCCTCACCATGCCGCGTTCCCTCCTGCGCTGGACCCTCACCTGCTGTGCCCTCTGCCTGAAACACCCTCCCTTCCTTCCCTTTCTTTGTCGGACTACTTCCTCCTCACTCTAGTACTTCCTCCAGGAAGCTTGTCGCAGGCCCCCAAACTGGATGATACGTTATGAGAACCAGCATTTATCCAACCTGTTCCTGCCCTCAGCTCCTTAGACCTAGCTCAAGCCAAAAATCCCCACAAGAAAGACCCAACCTGTATCACTCACTCCCACAGTCAACAAGGATTGGGTAGAAGATGCTCAGGACATATTTGCTGAATGAACAAAGGACATAAATAACCCCGTAGGACCAATGAAGTAACTGCTGAGCCTGTCAGGACCTCCCAGTGAGCTCTGTCCCGGGATCACTTTTCAAACGCAGCCAGTGCCCCTCCTTTCAGAAAGGAGTGGCCAGGACTTCCCAGGTGCCAGGACTTCTGTCTGTTCTTTGGTGACTACCCCCACATTTTATTCTCCCTGCCTCCCCGCTCCTGGTTTAACTGCTGGGCCCTGCAGTCCTCCCAGGAAGGTGAGCAAGCTACCCTCAGTCTTCGCTGATGCTCAGGTAGGCAAGAGACAGGGAATGTGGAAATGTCTCTTGTGGGATTTCTCAGTCGGTGGCTCCAGCTTCCCCATGGATGGCCCTGGAGAAACCAGGATCCTAAGGGGAAGCTCAGCAAAGGGCACACCTCCAGGAAGCCTTCCGTTTCCGGCTGTGTGGTCAAGGAAAGCACAGGCCTCCAAGAGGAAAACTGAGATGATCCTTTGCCGAGGGCCGCAGAGAATTCAGCTTGCTCACTTGTCCTGAGGTCACTAATCACAGCTTCCCTGGTCCAGAAAGAAGCTCATACAAGGTAGCAGAGCTTCCAGTACACACTAACTCCTCCAAATGGTGAGGCTAGGGCACTTAAGTAAATGGAGACCCAGGCCAGGCCACATGGCCTGGTGATTACATGCGCTGGATCTCACATGACCGACTTCATAGTTCAAATCCCAGATCTGGCAGCTTGAAAAACATTCCAAGCATGCTTGTGTGTAAATACTCAAAATCCCAAAAGGAAGGAGAATCGTCGATGGGGTTGTGGTGTAACCATGGGGATGCTTTCTCATATTTCTTCTTCTCTCAGATGCACCAAATTGGAAAAAGGGAGGGCAAGGACCTAAATGGTGAGGCTGGGGCACAGACGTAAACAGAGAAGAATCAAGAGTTGTCCCTCAAGGTCTGTTCACTCCTGGCTTGCTCACCCAATGGCCCTACCCATGAATGAAAACAAGCTGCAGTCCCAACCAGAAGTCAAAGCAAACAGTAGGTGGGGGAGCAGGGCAACTGGGCACAAGAACCGACAGCGGGTGGTGACGCTGGTCAACGCCAGGGCACTGAGTGACCAAGAGAAAGGAACCACAGCCAGTACCCACTGACGCAGACCACGTGACCAGGAGCACCCCACCACCACCAAACCAGCAAGAATATCAAAATACAAAGTTCATGGTAAAGAATAGTCTTTGCTGCCTCCCATCAAGTTTTTAGCAGAAGTTTGGTTCCAAGATAAGATGAGCATCAAAGACTGCCTGAAGGCCATACTGTCCACCCATTTTTGGGCACTTAAGTGGCATTTCTTTCTCCTCGGTCACCAAGGGCACTGTATTGGGTCTGCATTGTTTTGGTTTTGGTCCCTTACACTTACGATAGAGTCCTTGGAAAAGTCATGAAGCATTTTTGCATAAAAAACATAGAAAGGGGGCTAGCAGGTGGTGTGGTGGTTAAGGCACTAGACTCCCACGTGGCTGACCATGATTTGAGCCCCAGACATGATGGCTTACTTTCTTGCTCTCTCTCGGGGCAAGCACACGTGCCATATAGCAAATTAAAAAGCAATAATTATTATTATTTTAATTAATTCTTTAAAAAAAAAAAAAGGCACAGAAAAATATGTCATGACTTTTCCGACAACCCAATAATTTAGGTCCTGGGCCTGCATGGAAAGATGTGATGGAGAACAGGTCAGATAAAATCCACTACCATTTCTTTTTTTTTTTTTTTTTTTTTTGGGATATTTTTC